CCAGAAAGGCGGGGCAGTGAAGTCCCTATGCTGGGAAAGGGTTCTGTAAGGCTAAACAAGCATTCTACTAGGTTTGGCGTGTCTGGTCATCGCATGCAATCGGCTACCTGAAAAGAGTCCAGTTCTGTAGAACCTTCCTAGCCCTAACACCTAAACTAAGCCATACAGGCGCTGTGAATCTATGAATCCATTGAGCGAAAATTAGATGAATGCAGGTCTCGAAAAATGGCGATGCGAATGCGGCCGCCCTCTTCAGATGTAAGATCTTAGCACAAGAATGGGTGCTATGTTCATATGGGGTTACATGTTCTCAGCCCACGGTTTATGGGGATTAGCTGCTAGCTTGAGCCATCAAGCCGCGGCCCCAAGTGGTGAATCATTGTTCCATGTGCCGGTAAGCTTGTGTTGCGACTTCTCTGTTATGCCTGGAGGAAAAAGAACAAAATGCTAAACCCTAAACTTTATCTCCTGGACCAGAATTCTAAATTGCATCGAAGACCACACCGAAAACGAGAAGACTAGGCGTGAGGCTTTAGGTTTGAATAAGTAACCGAAGGACAACGCAAACCGTTTTAGAAGCAATATTCTATTACTGACAAAAAGCATTACCCTCCACCGAGAATCTTCGCATCGAAATAACCTAAAGCCTGAACTCCGTCCGACTCTGAGAACGGAAGCGCACTCGCTGAACTTGACGAAGCGCGCGACACGGCGCACAGCCTTCTTACTCCTCAGCGCGAGCGACTGTCAGTGTGCTTTTTTGTCTTTGGGGCCTTGAGTTTACAAGGCCTCCATCCGAAAGTTGTGCCGAAAGACTCTCTGCCAAGCCTAAGGCTAAAGAACTTGCAACTACTTGCATAAGTGTCTTTAAGTACAATTTTCTATGCTATAGGAAGTGAAGAATAAGTACATAGACAAACTATATGTTATATATATATATGTGTGTGTGTGAGTATATGCCTGCTGCCACATGCGTGCATCCGCTGCTCCATCTCTGTCTATCTCTATGTATCTTTCTCTCTCACTCCCTCGCTTTCTCTCTGTCTGGAAACACAGCTCTGGATATGTACAACTATATGAATATGTACACACACAAACACACATACATATACATATATATATATGTATACATATATACATACGCCTACATCTACATCTGCATGTACATACACATACACACATACATACATACATACATACATACATACATACATACATACACACATAAAAACATACATACATACATACATACATACATACATACATGCACACGCACATACATACATGCACACGCACAGACACACGTGCATACTTACATACATGCATACATACATACATGCATGCATACATACATACATACTACATACTTGCATGCATGCATACATACATACATACATACGTAAATAATGATAATGCGCATACATACATGCATACATACATACAGACATACATACTTGCATACATAATTACAATTATTACGTGCATTACGCACGTTACACACATGAATTACACACTTAGCATACAAACAAACAAACACACAAACACACAAACACACATACATACCTACATACCTACATACATACATACACATACATACATACATACGTACGTACGTACGTACATACATACATACATACATACAGACATACACACTTACTTACATGCGTATATGCACACATGCATGCATACAGGTGCATGTATGCGTGTATGTATGTATGTATGTATGTATGTATGTATGTATGTATGTATGTATGTATGTATGTTTTTATGTGTGTATGTATGTATGTATGTATGTATGTATGTATGTATGTATGTATGTATGTATGTATGTATGTATGTAGTTTTAGTATGTATATCTATAGGTATGCATGTTTATATGTATGTATATGTATGTTTGTCCTTTTCCCCCTTGCTGTTTGCTTTCCTGTGCAAGCCCGGCTGAGATACATTATCGTCGGCTTGAGACATGTATCAGGAGGCTTCGGGAGCAAGCAGACCAATATGTTTGTGGACACGGCTTCAGGCACGTTGCTATAGGACTTATCGCTCATCCCCCTCGACCACACATGGTGGTGTAGCTCTTCTTAGAGAGGGGCCTCCTTGCATGTTTGCATTCATTACTGTAAAGACTCCCTGGGACTTACGGAACCTTGACGCTCTGAGGGGCGCACATCACAGTATCCTTCTTGGTCTTCTCGAAATCCTGCGCATAAGCCAGCCCACAGGTTCCGTCGCGAGCCCGGGACTTACAAGATCGGACAAAAAAATAGGTTCTGGCAGCTGAAGGCTCCAGTTGCAAATGAAATGCTTCACTAGCTGACGAGATGGACCGGAACTTGCAGATCTCGAAGACCATAGCAATCCTCAATAGCTTCGGTGCGGATGTGTATCCATCATAGCCTGAGCCCGACTGAGCCCCCGCTGAAAGTTAAGAACCCGAGCCCCAATCGTAACATGCTACGTCTCTCTTGCGAGAGCTAGTGAGCGTCAATGTTATCAACCTGCGAAACTTCGCACAGCGAGAAGAATACGGCAAAGGCCCCAATGGCAAAGCAAACCAACCAGTGCAGCATCTGCGCTGCGAACCTGATAAACCGTAACCTCAATCCGAAACGCCTGATACCTCTCTCTCTCTCTGTCTTTCTCGCGCGGACTCAGAGGTCTGCTAGCTGCGCGGTCGTCTAGCACTTGGCCATAGAATGAAAGCAAACATACTCCTGAACCCCCATATCTTAAACCATAGGCTGCAGGTCCCTGTCGAAGTCGAGGGCCGTGGCATTGGGAAGTTCACGCCAGAAATCGAAAGACTGGCGTAGCAAGTTGATGTATTTGGCAGGTAAATACCTGAAGTTCTGCTATGTAGTTCATTGTGACGGTACCGTTCTTTAGCACCATGCATTCCCTGTCCACTCGCCATCATCATCGCCATCACCATGACGATCATTGTCATCAGCAGCTTGTGACTCCATCAGAAATGCAGTCTCCCTTATGGTTATCGCCATCATCATCTTTCTCATGAACATCGTCGTCATCAGATTCGGCATCGCTATCATTGCCACCAGCAACACCGCCATCATCTGCATCATCATCATGATCCTGATCCTCATCCTGATCATCCTCATCAACATCACCAGGCCCAGTGGCCCCAATGCAACCATGATCATTAGCAAGGTCCTTCTTCTTCTTACTGCTCTTATTCAGCCCCTGTCCTTACGGCCTCCGGGGTACTCGGGGCTGACATGGGCTTGCCGTGAGTTCTGGTGAGTTTTGGACGGAATAGTATCGAGGCCGATGATCATCACAATCGACTCGAGGGTTTCTTTCCAAGTGCGGAGGGTTGCAGTTGCACAAAAGAATCGACTCTTCCCTGTTTTCGGAACCTCCTTGGTTGGGTGGGGATGTGGAGCGCTAGTTTTCAGTAGTTTTCTGCTGCATTGGTATGTCGAATCCACTAGGACCCAGTACCCAACGAAATAGCAGATATCGAGGCTGGGGTATAGGAGAAGGAAGAAGCAGAGCGAAGCGCAAAACACCAGGGAGAGCCAAAGGGGCCTGATAAAGTGGAGCAAAGTCTGAGGTATGGTAAATTACAGCTACATCTGCGAATCCTAGAGATTATTTCTAGCCAGACTCCTCTAATTGGGGCTTTCGATCCCGGCAATTCGGACCCTGGCCTACTCGAAACTCAACTTAGCGCCTTTTCGATAAGGGTTCAAGGTTTTCCCATGGTTCAGGCCCGGGTAGGTGTAAAAAGGCTCGAGGAAAACTGTGTCGAGGGTCCGTATGTTTCCTGCCTTACCTTTTTCTGAACCCAGACTCAAATCCTGCATCAGCTGGGAATCGGCAACCAACATGACTACTACATGTCGTAACCACAACTCTTTTAACACTGCAAACCCGGACCGGGTCTAAAGCTCAGGGTGTGATAGTTCTCGACTAGTGGGTGGCTGGATCTAACAACTATATCAACGCTTCATTCCATTAACGTTGATTATATTGTTAGCCTTATGATATTACTGCATCGCTATTTGCTACAGCGGTTATCTAATATGAGCCAACCCAGGGTGGAAGAAATACCAGTGAGAGCCCAATACTTACAGGTGGAAGGCACTCAAGAGGGAAAGTCTAATATGTGGGTAGTGAGTAGGATGGGCTTTCAGGAAATGATTCAGGACGAAAACATTGGCGTGGTGTTACTTCGTCTACAGGCACCCAAGAACCAAACAGCTACAGGACCCGAAACGTGGGACAAACGCTTCATACCAACCCTTGACAAGCCCTTTCGAAGCTTATACAAAATTCTAAGGAAATCTCAAGAGCCCTATATCAAGTGGCTCACTCTCTACCATTCAGCTACATAGGCAAAGTCAAAAGGGCTAAACCCTTACCGTAAGGGTCCTAAATACCTATTTAGTAGAATGTACCGTTTCTATAAGCGGAATGCTATTAGGGTTTGGGCAAACATCCCCCAGATAGGCAATTCTGACCCTTTTGGTAAAGTAACCTGGCCCAGAAAAGGTCAACCTTTCAATTGTCTTAGGATTATATGAACCCCGAAAGGTTAAAGGTTACCTACTCAGCTACGAAGAAGTTCGGCTCCTAGGTCGGGAGTCATTTCGCCTCGCCTTGCTCGTGCCGATGCCGATGAAGAATACGGAGATGGGGTAATCCTTGGTTTCGTGGTTCAGGGTCGAGTGTTTGGGTTTCAGGGCTTTTTTTTCCTCCCACTTGGCAAGCACGAGCCCGCATTGCAGGGTTACGGTCAGAACAGAACTTGTCAGCGCGTAGTCAGATGTTTGCACTTGCTGTCAGAACAGTCCTACTAACCAGCACAGCAACAAGCCCGATTAAGAACACGGTGAAATTGTGCAGTTCGCCTGCCTGCCTTAGTACTAAGGCTAAGGCATCTTAACTTAACCGGAGAGCCACACTGAATTACAGGGTTGACCCAAGCATTGAACAGGCACTGGCCGCGAAGAAAGCGTAGCATAGCTTTGGCTTTATGCAGTCTCTGCAGCGGGCACGTTTGCCTGCACCTTGAAGCAGAAATCCTGGTCGACCCTGTACGGTATGCTGATGGTCCACTGCAATGCAGGATTTGCTGCGTTGGCCGCAGTCATCACCTCCTCGATGTTGCTCTGAGTCTGGTTCATTATGCTCTTTCGTCTCCGCGTGGCAAGCTCGATCCAGCCAAAGAGAACGACACCGGCCGCGAGTATGGGCACAATGAAGCCCACGAGCCCGACAACAAGCCCCACTGCCGTCGCCAGGACCACACTGAGCAATAAGGCGAGGAATGCCAGGCCCACGACGACCATCCAGATTTTGCACTGATGCTCACCGACAGCTTCCAGAGCCTCAAAAGCTGAATGAAACTCCCCGTCCAGCGAAACACGGAATTCTTCATACGCTGCCAAAGGCATCTTGCCCTCCAGAGCATCGGGTAGGACATCTGGCATCGATTCAGGAAGCTTCTCTAGCCTCAGAAGGCTTGATTTAGCGACCATGAACTCCACAGCGCTTGGATCCGGTGAACCCACAACTGCCATGGCAAGAAAGAAATCCAGCAAGAGCTGGATGGCGTCTGCCAAATGAGCTTGAGCCATTTTGGATGTAGGGGTTTGGTTTAAGGGTTTAAGGGCTTGAGGTTCAGGGTTTCGGGTGGACGGGTTTTGGGATTGAAGTTGTAGGTGTAAGGATTGGAATCAGGGCTTTACATGAGAAAGGCGACATGCTGCAGCCACAAACTCGAAGCCATCGTCCCCCGTGCATGAGTTACCCCTCTGCTCGAAATTTCCAGTTGTGAAACCCCCGTGGCTATGGCACAGGCCCGTGCATCTTAATCCTGAAGCCTTGAACCACTCTTAAACCCATAAACCCCAACCCCAAAAGCCATAAGTCCTGGACATGGCCTGACAGAGAGGTACTCCTCCTTAGGCGCTAGCAATTCCGCCAGAATAGTGTCTGAAAATCCTACGGGAACACTACGAGTGGGCGTATATAACCAAAGGACCCTTACCCAAGCACTAAAGCCTGAACCCCTATGCACACCCCCAAGAGGGCCGGACCTGCATCTTCCTGGCACCGGGTGGTTGCACAGGTTTGTCGTGGGTGCTTAGGATTTAGGGTCAGGCCCGGTTAGGGAAAGACAACCTAGATCAGGCCACTGTAAGATCTCGAATGCCCGGAAGCACGGGGGATCAATAACAAAAAGGACGCCCTTTCGACCCTGCACAAAACTAAAACCCTTTTGCTGCAGGCTTGCATGCAAGAACCGCTGGTAGGTAGCCACTCTTCCGCCGGTCAGCACTGTGCTCGTGACAGCGCCCCCAACTTCTGAGCATACGACTGAGAAAATTGACTGCAAAGGCACACTCACTAGTCCGAACTTGTCGTAAGCATTGTAAGCATGTTGATGAATAGCACGCAGTTCAGGATAATACGCTAGCACATGATCCTCTTGGAGGTAAATGTCCAAAGGAAGTCAGTCAAACTCGAACTGCAACCAACAGAACCACAGCTGACATACTGGTGGAAGGTCTGCATACTCTCAACTCTATCTCATCAAGATAAATAGAAACTTGACCCAGGTCGAACTGCACTAAAACCCTAAACACCCGGTAAGCACTGCAACATGTAAACCGGACAGCTACGAAACCCCCCAACTCTGAGAATTTCTGGGGTCTACCCTCACTTGGTGAAGCTTTGGGGTATATGGTCTATACGGGTTGGGATAGCTTTCTTTTTAAGCCTCGGGTTTAGGGTTTGCGGTTTGGGGTTGCAGGGGTTTAGGGCTTTGGGGTTTTGGGGGTTTACGATTTAGTAGGGTTGTGGCGGCTTTGCGTTTCGTCAAATGCTGATGCCGGGCGCACTTTAGCTCCTGGACGACTCGCTTCTCGTTCACGATGTCGCCGTCCTTGGGGTTTCTGGGATTTACCGCTACACCACACTGAAACAAAGCCAATTTCCAGGAGTGCAGGATGGCACATGCGCTTCCTTCGAGGAACCCAGGAACCTAAGCTACACTCCCTGTCAGTTTGATTGTCGGTCACAGGCATCGGAGACCCCAAAGCCTAAACCACCCAAGAACACCGGAAACCACACCCTCCAGCCCCCCGGGATGAGCTCGGCGCGGTAAGGACGATGAGTACCTCAGGATTCTAAGGAATAGAACCCAAACGAATACAGGGGCCACAACCATTAGAACAGGGTGTGTGGCATATTCGACGTTTATTGCATAGGGACCGGGCGAGGGCAGCTTGTTTAATCGTGGCAATCATGGCTTATTTAAATTAGGATTCTAATGCCTGGGCCTAGTCTCAGCGTTTGTGGCCTGAGGTATTATACAAACAAGCGTGCTTCAGGCATCCCCTGCGGCGATCAGCCACGAGGAAGGTTAAACCAGTTCGGGGGACAACCAGGACCCTCAAATAGGGGTATATGGTCCCAAATAGTGGGTATGTAGGCATCCACTCGAAATTTCTTGGACTAGATTCTTGCCAATGTGCTGCGCCTTCAGGCATAACGGCATAACAACAAACAAACAAGCAAACAAACAAACAAACAAGCAAACAAGCAAGCAAGCAAGCAAGCAAACACACACACACACATATATATATATACACACACACACACGCATACAACAATTCTAAATCACCATCAGTAGCTATATGGGGCGGTAGACAAGCGCGTGCAGTCATGCTTGATACATATGCCTGCATGATATCGCAAAACTACGTAGCTTGTTCCATCCTGAGGGCCTTAATGAGTCCAGCAGGCTTTTGAGCATCCAGTCATATGCACCCCTGTATACACACAGACAAATCTTATGCGCGTGTGTGTACACTGTACATATATCTACATATATATATATATGCATACATGCACACATACATACATACATTTTTAGCACTTGCACTCGACATACATACATACATACATACATACATACATACATACATACATACATACATACATACATACATACACACACACACAAAGAGGCACACCCCCCCCACACACACATACAGTATATCGGGCACACAGCCACAACCCGCCTACAACACACACACACACACACGCACGGCACACAAACCCCCAAACCCCATACATAATCTCTTAGAAAAACTTCAATAAGCCCTACCTGCATAAACCCTATATAAGCCCTACCTGCATAAACCCTATATATAAGCCCCTGTAGCCCTAAATCCCTATAACATCCTATACCTATCTACACATCTTGAAACACTAAGTCTCTGGACCCGGGGCCTCGTTTGCAGATGCCTTCCCTGCGCTTGCAGGTTCCTCGCGGTCTGGCACGGAAGAGCGAGCCTTGGCCTTGTCCAGCAGGTCGAATTGGTCCTTCTTGAAGTCCATGGGTTCATCGGCCTGTTCAGCGACTTATATAGGGGTTGGTTGGGTTTTGGTTGGAGCTTCAGGCTTTCGTGCGAATTACCGGGATGGTCGGGGCCTTCATCCTCTTGCGCTGGTTCTGCTCATGCTCTTGAGCGTGAACATGTTGAGCAGATTCTCTGACCACGACATAGTATTCCTTCACACCGTCATACACATTGCTCCTGCTCGCATGAACAAGACCCATTGAGTACAACCCTTGCATGTGTTCCAGGTACTCAAGCGTGTGAAGAGATTTGCTAGCTAATTGCTGCATAAGAAGTCCTGTTCAGGTCAGGGTTGGCTTCGCAAAGCTTCTTCGCACCGGCTATCCTTTGCCTGCACAAGGAGGCAGTGTTCAAGCACCAATTGTATTATTCGTGATGGAATCAATACATCCCCCCTGCCCTTAAATTTCCCAGGTAGGCTCCCGGCGCCGACCACTTCAGCTCGGCTTTCATCTCGCTTTCAGAGTACCATCCTTCATTGACATGAAGAATGAACTTCTTGACTTTCCGGATGATAAGCTCGAGTTCTTCTACGAACTTGTCCTTGCAGGGTGCGAGGATGAACAAGTCATGCTAGGCATGTTGTTGAGGGGTCGCATACAGAGCGCTATATGAATGACATGTTCCTTATCGTTGTTGACGCGCATCAACAACTCGGCCATCTCGTCTTTGGAACTTGTACCGGAGTTCCATTTGTCGATGACAAATTGCGGCACATTCAGATCTGTACGCTTGCGCTTCGGCTTGGTCATGCGAGCAATTCTCGCTTTGGCCGCTTCCTGAAGCAGCTCCTGCAAAGGCAGCACGAAAACCACAACACTCGAAAAAGTTGCGCCAACGGACTGGTCTGCAGGACAGGCGCGCGTCTCGTCTTCACTCGTTTGCGCTTCAATGGTCGGCGGGAACCACACGGCTTCTCAGCCACGTCGGTCTCGCTGGGTTCCACAGTCTTTCCGGTCTCCTGCTTGCCGCAGCAGCGACTAGGTAGGATTAGGGTACGAAGATATGCATGCATGCTAAAAAAGCAGGAAAAACCATGTCCTGTTCATCTTCCGGCACACAAGCATGCATCTCGGCCAGCTCTGCTTCCTGGCATGAGCCCCCTACATTGTGTAAAGACTATACCAGATGATTCGGCTAAACGTTTCGTGAAACAGGACAGCAGGGCAGTAGCGGGTACAGTCAGGGTTTCCGTGGATCCACGGCCAACAGCCTGCGGCAACACATGCATGTGTGTCACAGGCGCAACGCGGATCGACGGCCTGGGGCGACGATGATCGAGAAGGCGGGACCGGGCTCACGGAGAGGACTTGCTCGTCGTCTGTGATGGAGACTTCAAGCATCTTAGTGGGAGGGAAGCATGTTTCGGTATGTCTGCTTGATTCGGACAGTATGAAGCAAGCTACTATTTAATTATGTTGAAGCGAAGTACTTTGATCTTCTTCAATATAGCCTGCTCGTCTGCAAGAAGCTGCTCCTCGGCCGCGTCTCGCATAACCTGATCATATCCCGCTGCCAGGGTCTGGCAGCTCCATGCCTTTGACATGGTTGGCCTGCAGCCTCGCTGGCTGACTAGTTTCCACTACCGTGGCTTGAGCACACTTCAGTCCTTCACGGAAGAAGCCGATGAGGCATCATACCAGGCGGCCTAGCATGTTCCTCTGACGTTTCGGTATTTTTGCAGGCGACGATAGTGTTCAGGTGACACAATCGACCAAGCGTAGCCCAATTAGGCGAAGGTTCCGCAGAAAAGCCCGATCAGTCGGTACATAAACCGCTTAAAAGCGCTTAATCTGGGGTTTATAAAAACCTACTTTTGCCCTACGGGTAATTATGGGTTCCCGACGCTTATTTATGGGTTCCCGACGCTTATTTATGGATTTTCAAAAAGTGGGTTTTACATAAGAACCGGGTTCTTGTGTTTTAATTATGGGTTTTCGATGGTTTTTTATGGGTTTCCGATGGGTATTTATGGGTTTTGGCCTTAAAACCTACTTTCTATTTGTTAAAAACTGATAGATTTGCTCTAAAAGCGATTCTAAATTATGTAGAACCAACCTGGATATTGATTTACCTATCTACCGCTTCAAAAGACCTCATATCAGGGTCCCGGGGCCTGTAGAATCCTACGTAGAGCTAGTGGTGAACTGATAACCCACGGTCTGGTCGGGAGCTTCTCCGCCCCTTCGAGGCGAAACCCTGCCCTAGCTGCAAGATCTCTTTCGTTGTCTAGCAGGGAACAGGGCCTTCCACTCGGGAGGGATCTCTAAATGGGTCCCTCCTCTCAAATAGTCGTAGACAGACCTAAGGTCCGCCTGCTGGAAGAGCCGCTGCACATCTGGTGGTGTCTTTGCTGCTTTAAAGGAAGCGAGACCATCACACATATCCGGAACCGCGGGGCAACCCTTAGCCGACGACCTCAAATCGTCGAAGATGTTTGCCACTGCATCAGCAAAGGGCATTGGGTAGATCCTGAGCAGGCAAAAACATATCAAATAGAAGAACAGCCCCAATCAAAGCACTAGGTTGTATATATCTATATATCGTTCTATATATATATATACATACATATATATATATATTCCTAGTGAAAACCACAAGTATCCCTTGTAAAGCCTTCTATAAATCCCAACAAAACTTGTTTCCCGAGTGCCAGGCTAATTACCCGACAGAGCACTAGACTAAGCATCTGGTACATAAGGCACCAAAACCCTACAAAACCATCACAGCCCTGTAGCCCCAATCCGTGGTGAAATACATAGTTCATTAAAACCCCGTAGACCTACCCAACACCTTAATTTCATGGCTGTGTAACCGAAAACATAAAAACCTTGACAAGCCGTACCAACTTTTATCTTCGATGCTGTTTCGCACAACCAGAAACTAGCTTCAGGACTTCGTAGTAGATACCTCTACATTTATCTACATAGTACATATGGGATAGCACTGTGAAGCCAGTACACACAAATAATGCTAGAATCAAATCGCAGCGTCTCTGTGGACTTCAGCTGTTTTGTTCCTGTAAAGGTAACAGTTCCATCCGCTCGGGTCTTCCTGGTTACCGTTCTCATCTTGTTCTTTCGTTGTGTCTGTCGTCGGTGGGTTTTTTTGAGAACTCCCAGGTCTAGCCGTCTGACGTAGGGTGAGTTGCTGAATGCATACTGTCTCTTCGGACATAGGCCTCCGTAGAGACCCATCCACCAGCCGACTCTCGCGACCTGGGCTTAAAAGGGACTAGGGATGGGGTTTGTGCATATTAGAGAGAGGGGTAAAAGGACACATATAAATATACGTCTATATAAATATAAATATATATAT